CCCTCTCTAATAGCTGCACTTTGAGTTAACCAATCTGTGTTAATCTCTTGTTTCCATTTCTTCCTCCTGACAAACCTGCACCCAATTTTATCTTTTGCCACATGTGCTCCAAGATGGAGACTCTCATAGTTTAGAGTTAGGACTGCACTATATAGAGGTGCCTTGGCGCGGCTGTGTGGCTTTCACATTTTCTGCAGAAGACGTGTGTCTAAACCTCTGTTTTTAACCTTAGCGGTGAGACAAGTTTTTTGCATGCTGGCTGGTGAGTGTGCTGGGAAACATTTTGCTGTTACTGTTTAAAGCCCTTCCGTGTGCACCTTGCTGTAATGCTGGCAACAAATTGATGAGTGTGTTTGCCATTTGTTTTGCTACACCTCTGTACTCTGTGTCACACCGTTGATGTTATCCCCTGGCATTCTGACTTGATTAGATTGTAAAGTGGATTAATGTATTATATTTGTGTTTATATAAATGAGATTTTGCACAGTTGGGTCTGAAGAAGTGAAGCACGTGCGAGAAACACGTCATCCTTGCAGAACCCTGTGCTTGACATCAACCACTTACATTGTGATTCTCATGTGATCTGAAATTGAAGGTGTTTTTGTATTTCCCTCTACTTAGATAACTGTGATACATCAAGACAGTACTGCACAGGGATGTTGTGCTTTACTTCATGTTGGGTTTTGAGAATGTTTTTATGATTTTATGTCAGAAGCGCATGTTGATTGTTTTTAATCATGTTCTAATAATTTATTTTAATGGAAATTTTATATGCTTGAGGATATATGGGGGCACCTTTAAAGTTCAAATATTAAAAGCCCTGGACAGAGGCTTTCATGTTTGTCTGTATACATAGGATGTGGTGTCCATGTTACACACATTTTAGAATTAATTCAATGAGCTGTGTATCTGTAATTAGGTGAGGATGATAAGAATTTGTGACATGCAGCAATCCCATCCTTGAAAGGTATGTTGCCATTAAGAGATTCATAGTCACTAAAAGTGTATATGGTGGTAATTGCTGTATATTGTGGGGCTTGTTGCACATTTTCTACAAGGCTGAGATGTGTTCAGTTAATGTATTCAAACCTGTTATCATGGGTCTGCCTGGATTTCCTAAATTGTGGACCCAGGGCAGCATACAGAAGTCCCCAATATCTGGATTATCTGGAATTGCACTGTTAGTTACTGGATGTAGGTGGGTTGGTAGTGTTTTGATTAAACCTTTTTGAACTGATTTTTATAGCAATAGCTTATAGTAATAGCCGATGCTGTGTGTCCTACCTAATGCCCCTTATCACCTTTTAATGTTTTTTTAATAACATCATTACACCTTTATGACCAACATAAAAAAAGCAGCAAATAAACCACTGGGACCTTGATAGGTTAGGCACTATCAGAAGTTTTCTTTTGGTAATTAAGTATATGGATTTTTTTCATACGGTATAATAAATGTAATTTTTGTGGTAATAACAAAATAAAATGTATTATACTGTATAAAACGAATCCAAATATTTAATTACAATAAGAAAACTTCTCATTGGGCCTAACCTATAAAGGTTCCAGTGGTTTATTTGCTGCCTTTTCCCCAGTTCTTATGAAAGTTAGATCAAGTGTTGAGTTTACCATACATTAGTATGGTACTTTCAACTGTGGCAGTTTCTAGTTTCAGTAGTATATAACAATTTTTATTATAAAAAAAGTAATAATAAAAAATTCAAGTTGAATGCAGCACCAATACTATCTATCAATTTCTATCAATACTATAGTAAGCCCTTTTTTAATTATGTTTGTGGGTTGCGCTCTACTGCATTACTTGTGTTTCTTTTCCAAAATTTCCACAGTTCTGTTTTCAATATTCAATTTAATTTTTGTCATAGATTATCATTCGTAGTTAATAGGCTTTCCTTTTTTGAGTATTCTTAAAATCCTTCTTAAGAACCAAAACATGAATGTCTTCCATAGAACAGTTCAACAGTTTTGTTTTCAAGTCCTACACCATAGAAAATATTAGTTCCATGCACAGAACTTATGATGACAAACATGCCCGAAGTTTGGAATAAATGGTTTTAAAGAATTACATTAAATTTTATCTGTGTTATAAACCAGCAGTTTTGGATGTACAGTTGGCCAAGAGGCCAAAACTAATATTTTAATTGGTTCCACCCACTATCCTAAAATGTAGACAATGTAGACAAACAATAAGGGCATAGAAATCAGGCAGCAAATGTTTTAGAAAATTAGAAAAGGAAGTGCAAACACTTCTCACTTGTTTAATTGTAAATCATGCAATTGTCAAAAAACAGTAATGTGTACCAGTAAACAGGCCCGCCTGAGGGCGCTGCAGGGTGAGGGCGGAAAAAACAGGGCATTTTGACAAGTACTTGTACTTGTCAAAATGGCCCGATGTTTGCAGTATGTTTTTTTTTTCACTTACCTTCGGTGCGGGAGAGCAGCGGCGAGTCAGCGCTGGTCTGGTGGGAGGAGCTCCAGGTGGGGTCCTAATTTAGCTGGCCGGCGACTGCCAGAGGACCCCGACACGCGCAGCACCTCAGGTAGTCGCCCGCCAGCTAAATTAGGACCCCACCTGGAGCTCCTCCCACCGGACCAGCGCTGACTCGCCACTGCTCTCCCGCACCGAAGGTAAGTGAAAAAAAAACCCATAGCGCAAACATCGGGGCATTTTGACAAGTGCTTGTCAAAATGCCCTGTTTTTACAGGGGGTCAGGGAGGGGGGGGCGCAAAAATGCACCTTGCCTGTGTAGGCAAGAATCCTAGCACCGGCCCTGCCAGTAAAGGATCTTCTACAGAACTCTGTACACCTATTCCAAATGCTTTTAATTCTGGGTGCTCTCCCTGCTTTTTGTTACATCTGCAGGAGGGTTAGAATATATTTTAACTTCTCTGCAGTTGCATTTCTTTATCTTGTCCTGCACTAGCTGGCTCACAATGGGGACATCAGATGTCGGATCTAAAAAAAAACAATTTGCTCACCGGTACTCAGCACTATAGACTGCAGGGGAACCACAGAAGTGGCCATTAGGTTGGACCAGGGACCCTTTTGAGAATCCTGCTTTTATTATTTAGCATTTCTATGTAAACATGTCTGATGTGCAGAAAAGTTTAAAATTCTGAATCCAGACAATATCAATAAACCACATGATTCTCCATCAACTGTATAAATCTTGTTGAAAATATTTAAGAGAACCAAAAAAGTTTGTGATTCATCAAATTGCCTTACATGCAATTCAATATCTTCACCCTACACAATATACACTATATTGCCAAAAGTATTGGGACACCCCTCCAAATCATTGGATTCAGGTGTTCCAATCACCTCCATGGCCAGAGGTGTATAAAATCAAGCACCTAGGCATGCAGACTGATTCTACAAACATGAAAGAATGGGTAGCTCTCAGGAGCTAAGTGAATTCAAGCGTGGTACCGTGATAGGTTGCCACCTGTGCAATAAGTCCATCCATGAAATTTCCTAAAGCTACTAAATATTACACGGTCAACTGTTAGTGGTACTATAACAAAGTGGAAGCAACTGGGAACAACAACAACTCAGTCACGAAGTGGTAGGCCACGTAAAATGACATTGCCGGGTCAACGCATGCTGAAGCCCACAGTGCGCAGAAGTCGCCAACTGTCTGCAGAGTCAATAGCTACAGACCTCCAAACTCCATGTGGCCTTCAGATTGGCACAACAACAGTGTGTAGAGAGCTTCATGGAATGGGTCTCCATGGCCGAGCAGCTGCATCCAAGCCTTACATCACCAAGTGCAATGCAAAGCGTCGGATGCAGTGGTGTAAAGCACGCCACCACTGGACTCTAGAGAAGCGGAGACGTGTTCTCCGGAGTGACGAATCACGCTTCTTTGCCTGGCAATCCAATGGACGTGTCTGGGTTTGGAATTTGCCAGGAGAACGGTACTTGCCTGACTGCATTGTGCCAAGTGTAAAGTTTGGTGGAGGGGGATTATGGTGTGGGGTTGTTTTTCAAGGGTTGGGCTTGGCCCCTTTGTTCCAGTGAAAGCATCAGCATACCAAGACATTTTGGACAATGTCATGTTCCCAACTTTGTGGGAACAGTTTGGGGATGGCCCCTTCCTGTTCCAACATGACTGTACACCAGTGCACAAAGCAAGGTCCATAAAGACATGGATGAGCGAGTTTGGGGTGGAGGAACTTGACTGGCCACACAGAGTCCTGACCTCAAACCGATATAACACCTTTGGGATGAATTAGAGCGGAGACTGCGAGCCAGGCCTTCTCGTCCAAAATCAGTACCTGACCTCACAAATGTGCTTCTAGAAGAATGGTCAAACGTTCCCATAGACACATTCCTAAACCTTGTGGACACTTTTACAGAGGAGTTGAAGCTGTTATAGCTGCAAAGGGTGGGCCAACTCAATATTGAACCCTACGGACTAAGACTGGGATGCCATTAAAGTTCATGTGCATGTAAAGGCAGGTGTCTCAATACTTTTGGCAATATAGTGTACTTTGCAGTGAAGTATAATACAAATATCAGTGTTTATAAATGTGGGGAATCTGTTCATTAAATTGTTTGTCAATTTTCTATTTTTTATTTCATTATGTATTTACTTTCATTTGAAAGTCTAAAAACAGAGACTGTTGCTGATATTATTGGTTTGGTGTGATCACTTACTGTATTTACTATACAAGCATAATCAGATTCTTATACAGATAATGCAATAATATGACATACACACATAACATGAAAGTCAGAATATAAAGAATAACACTGTCCATACATACATTAGGATCTGATACGAAAAGTAGCACATGCAGACTTCTAAGATATATAGGTTTAACCATTTATAGACAATTCCACTATAAGCATTGGCTTTTTTTTTTAGTCAGTAGCTGTCTTGCATACAAATAAAGACACATAAAGCAACTCTCCAGTTGTGGTAGTGTATGTTATATGGCTCATTCCATCCTCCTCTGTGCATGCTGCTTAGTAACCATACAGCGGAGAGAATAACAGCTCTCCTCCCCTCTAATCCCTGATTCTTTCTAACAGAGTACAAGGGTCTATTCTGATAGACTCAGCTGGAACTGAACATCTGACCAGAGCATCCTATCTACAGATCTTTAGGTAAGGATCCCCAAACTTATATTTGCTTTATATACCATAGACAGGATGTGACCTTTTCTCTGTCATATCTGCCAACCACCAAGATAATCTTTATGTGAAATGTGCTGCATTCTCTTTATTCCAGTGTAAGTTTGCTGCAGGGGAATGTTGTGTGTGTTACTTCTCAGCCTGCCATATCTGATGCTTCATTCATTTTTATTCCTGCGTCCACAGCACTGATGATACAGGCCTGGCCAGTGCTAAAGATGTCAGCAGACTGCAGGACTTGCATTTCTAGACACATCCTAAAGATATGTGTCACAATTTGACATTGCTGGTAGAAAAAGGTTAACTTTAATTTGGGAGAAGATGCAGGCAAGGGACAAGTAGCAATCTACACCGTATAATCATGCTGTGATAATTTCCTTATCCTGCCTCTGGTAATGTTATGGTGCTTGTGGTGATATGGTTGATATCATAATTGTCTGCCTATATGTTAAAATAAGCTATATATTAATAGCATAATATAGTACTATAAGAGTTAATATAGCACAAGTGGGAACCAGAACCTAGAAAACAAAAATACTGCTCATTGTTAATAGGCATTTGTTGTTCAATGCCATCTTGCATTTTAACCTGCACATAAAAAATCAACCTGAATTTCTGTAAGTTCTTGATCCTTATCGCATTGAGTACCAATACCATAAAATCCATGTAAATGTATATGTAAACTACAGCAAGCTTTTGACATTTAAAGGGGCAGTAAAGCTCAATCATAGAAAAAAAACAGAGTTGGCCTTAGCAACCAGTCATTTTCCATTCTGAGATGGAAAAATGAAATTATGACCGAAATCTATGGACAATGGCTCCACTTTTTCTGTATTTAAGACACCTGTTAACAGGGATGGTAAAACTGTAAGTGGTTGCCTTTTTTATAAAAAATGAGCCCTTTAAGGAGTCTATTACTTTCATGACTCTTGACCTGCCTCCAGAAATGTCAGTGTATTTGACTAGACCTATTTGCTATACAGTATGATGGTGACAAAATTATGGCTAGTCAATGACCAGTGATAAAGTGAAAATGTAGACAAGCATGTATATTGTATAGGATATCTGCACAGCCTATAATCCTGGATTTGATTTACTAAAAGTAAGCTCAGTTGTCTCCCATAAAGATGTTTGCCATCTGATCATAAGCTGCTTAGTATTAAGAATGCTGGTCTCCTGTGCTTTATTGTATTTTAAATTAAATAGCAACTTCTGATAACAATATATATTCCCACACATTGTAGATGCAAACATGGTTATAATTATAAGAATAAATATAGACAACAAGAGCAAAAGGAACACATGCAAAGAACAAGATAACAAATTGTTTATTTGTTGCTCATGTCCGCACAAATACCTCCATCTACCCCTCCCTCCCATCCCCTAACGCACCATGCATGTCTTTTTTGCTTACCTAGTGAAGAAAGATATACTCCCCTATGTCCGCCCATCCAGACCCCTGACCATCGCTATTTCCAGGTCTGAAGGACTACCTATTAAGTGTTGCAGATGCTGGTCCTCCACGCTGACCACCACCGCATACTCCTCTTCTGAATGCTGTGAGGACCCCACCGCTGGATAATCAATAGGAAGTGTCCACATAATTCAGACAGTGACATGGTCACCTAGAGAAAGAGCGCCCCTCTTGTAAACAGAAAAAGAGAGAAGACTGGAGTGGCATGTGACCACAGCTTTAGGTGAGTAAAAAATTTAAATTAGTACCATACTTACCTGTACTTTTCCTTTCCTGGCACCAGTCCCTTGTAACATACATGTCTTCTAGTATGCTGCCATGCTATTAAAGCGCATTTTAGGGCCAGTGATCAGCTAGACGGCGGTTGCGGCAATAGGTGGAGGTCGGACATCATTAAATGCGTTACAGTATGCAACAATTCTAAATTAAAGGTACTTCCAAGCTAACTCACATCGATTCCTCCATTCTTGATTATAGTTTTGGGGTGGGTGACCCTCACCATATGTCTAGAGATATGACATACAGTAAATTAATTTCTGCATGTTCAATTACAGCCAATAACATTCCGTTTTCTATTTTGCATCATTTAAAGTAGAAATGAATGGATGACTCTCTAGCTCAATATGAGTTCACAATATTTTTTGTTATATAAATATATATAT